GGTAAATTGAATGCCTGCAGCAAGTGAGGCTGAATGGGCACCAAGGAGGCAGGGTTGGTGGCCAAAGCCATTGCTGTCTCTTCAAGGGCAGCGCCACAGGGCTGGAGCTCCATGCTGCCTGAGCTGAGACTTCCACCCCAGTGGATGCCTACACTGCGGCCTCAGTCAGGTGGCAGAACAGGCAGACTGCACGCCCTCTGACCCTATGCCCTGGGTCTAGCCCTGCCCTTAGCCTTTCATTGTAAAAGAGTGGAGTGTTTCTCAGAGGCATGAATCTGTTGTTCAGGGTCTGTTGGGGTAGTTTCTGCCCCTGCCCTCTTGCTGTGTTGTAAACCAAGCCCACCCCCCACAATTCACCCCACACTGGGCCCTGCGGGGGAAAAGGAGCAGCGTGGTCATCTTTCCTTGGGTAGATACTTATGTGTTTTTGGTGGAATAGTAGGAGGGCAGAGTTCAGGTGCAGGCTGGGCTTCCAGATTCCGTTTCACAGCAGGAGGAAGCTGGCTTCCCTGCTGAAGATGCCCTAAGGCTCCTGCTGTAGGGAAACACCAGGCCGGGGCCTGCTGCCCTCCTCTGTCCCTCTGTGCATCTGGATGAGGGGAGGGATGCTGGCCTGCCCGGTTCCTGCTCTCTGCTAGGCTCCTGCACAGGGACTCATCATCCTCACCACCACTCTTAAGTAAGGTTCATTTTGGTTTTATCTGTTTTAGGTGAGGAATCTGAAGTTTAGAGAAGTTAAATAAGCTGCTCATGAGGGGCAGAGCCGGCATTTAAATCCAGGTCTGCCTGACTCAAAGCTTCAGTTCTTTCTACTTTACCAGCTCTTCAAGAGATTTAAGAGATATCAGCCACGTTTTTCCTGGCTTTACTTTGAGAATTTCAGCAGCTTTACCTCTCTGTTTTTCCATGAAGTAATGTCGACTAAATTTAAGTGAAAGGGAGCCTGCCTTTGTGCTCTTGCCACTTTTCCCTGATAGAAGATTCAAGAAACTCAGTATTCATGACAAGCCTTATTCCTTTCAGGGGTGAGAGAGATTACTCCAAGAAAGAATACAGAGGAGGGTAATGCTTAGCTCAGTTCTAGTTGTGTGATTTTAGCTGTAATTGGGAGGTGGCTTGGGGCAGGGCCCCTCCTGGCCCTCACCCAGGTGACCACTTGATCTGCCCTTACCTAAGACCCCTCTGAATACTCCCCATTAAAAATAAATCAAAATACCCTGAAAAGCAGAATTTAATGTGCGGTGGATAAGAGGATTCAGAAAGGGCAGTGGGACAGGGTCCTGAAAGCCTGGAGATGGGGGTGCAGGGTGCAGCTTAGAGCTGGGTAAGTCAGAGGAGAGCAGTGCCCTTCAGGACCCCACCCTCGTGTCCCCCCAGCAATGCCCACAGCCCATGCTCCTCCAGGCCTCTGACCCTCCTTTGCTCAAGTCTTCAGCGCACACGGCACTGTGAGTGTCCTCTGCCTGAGCTGGTAGGGGTCAGTACACAGTGCTGCCACAGCTGGAGGACAAGAGACAGGACACCTGTTCCCTTCTGCCTCTGTGGAGATGCCTTCTCCCAGCTTAGGTCAAGCTCAGATAGCACTGAGGCTCAGAGCCTGCCTGTGATACTTCAGCTAATGCACCTGGAGTGGAGATGGCCTATTTGCTGGCTTCCGAGTACACTTATGGGGATTTAGGATTCCACCTGTGGTTCTCTGGGGGCTTTGGCATGGAGGCTCACTGGCCACCCACTATCTATGGCAGCTGTTCAGGGCTGGGGACAGTCACACTGGTTTTCTCTAGTGAGAGTTTGCTGGACACCTCTAAGTGAGAATATGCCCTGGGGAGTCCCTCCTAAGGAATCTTCTCCCAACGGGGCCTGGACTACCTGTGACTGGGAAGACAGGGTTTCCCAGGGAGAAGGAGGGCACTGCTGAGAGAATCCAGCGCACCCTGTCCCTTGGCAATGGTAGAAAGTACCTGGTTGAGCTAGTGTATAAATTGGAAGGGACAGCAGGAGGATTGGCAGGGCTGGAATGGGAACTAGGCCTACTGCTTCCTGGGAACTTCTTCCCCCAACCAACCCAGCTGGGCCACCTCCTGCAGGTTGAGGGGCCCTGGCAGGCTGAGAGCCCCTCCACCCAGCCCCACCCCAGGGAAAAGCTGCAGTTGAGGTTCTCACACAACCTTCTGGCCTCTGGCTTCAAAGCATGACTCATATATGCTCTCCTGCTCTCCTCTGACTGGAGTGCAGTGAGAGGCGGGCAGCAGAGACCCCAGCCTCTCCTCTGGACGGTGAGTGGCTGAGTGACTTCTCTGCAGCCTGAGGCAGCACATGAAAGCTGGGAGTTGTTTCAGAATGTGCTTTTGACTGCCTCGGGAGTTTTAGCTGGTGGCAGGGGATTTGGCAGATTCAAGGGAGGCTAGCAAGAGGCTCTCTTGCTTGATTTGGAAATGTGACGCCCACCCTGTGATTTAGAGCTCTCCAGGATCTTGTTCTCGGCCCCCCACCCCTGGGCAGTGGGTGTTCCTGAGGGACTGGAGAGTTGAAAGGGAGGTTAAAGAGTAAGATACTCTATAGGGAACAAAAACTCAGGTTCTGGGGACAGGCTTCTGAAAGTGGAAGGTGTATAGTTAAGGCACTGTCTCTCTTTCCCACCTCTTCCTCTCCCTGCTTGGGACATTTTGCATGTTGAGAAGGTAAGACTCTGAGTGGGGGCAGGTGTCCTAGGATCCTGGGACCATCCACCCATGTAGCCAGTCCCCCCAGCAGGGGGTGGGGAGGGGGCAGTCACCCTGCCAAGAGCTCTTCCCCTAGCTACGCCTGAGAGCACCTTCCTGTGCTTTCTCTTTCCTACCTGCCTCCTCTTTGCTCTGTACTTGGTATCCATGTCCTCAAAGGCCACAAGCCCAGGTCACCTCAGCCTTGGGGTCCCCCCATTCCAAGCCCCTCTGATAACTTGGGGCCTGTTGAGGGGCTCACCTACATGGTCTGTTCACTCATCCTCCATCTCATCTCCAGGCCCTTTTGGGGGTGCAGCCGGGACTCTGCTACTTCCTGCTCCACCGCCTCCTGCACAGGACTGCCCTGGGCTTGAGAAAAGGGCCTGTGGGTTTATGAGTAGCTAGGAAGCTTTTGAGAGTGGAACAAGGTATTGCTAATAAGAACACTGAGCAGACAGGGACTGGGGTCACCCTGATTAGAAGCAGGAAAGAGTCTTAGGAAGCCTAAGCCTAACAGATTCTTTTTTAGATTCCTTAGCCTGGAATTTTTTTTAGGAGATCTCCAACTCTTTCAGTAATGAATGGATTTGCCGTCTGTGACTCTGTGTCTTCCCTGGGGCTGGGTCTCTGGGCAGTGACAGGTCCCTGCACGGGGCCAGAGCAAAGCCTGGCACGCTGCCTCTCCTTTCCAGTTTTCAGAGTCCCTTCTCAGGGGTGAGGGTTGCCCACGCTTCCTTCAGCCTGGTTTTCTGAGCACTCTTTCTCAACTAGCGCAGCATGACTCTGGAGAGGAGTCCAGTGACTCCAGCCACTGGTCTAAGGCCACGGGAGGTAGCTGGGAAGGACTCAGGGATCTCTGAGAGCTCTTGGGCTTGGGTCTCTCAGGGTTAAATCCTGGCCAGGCAGGGACTGCTCCCAGCTCCTTGAGTAGAGTGAGCGTGAATAACAATGGCAGTGGGGAAATTAAGCTGAAAAGCCTGGGCCTGCTCAGTGGGGAGGGGCCGCAGGGTGCTGGGTAAGGGGCAGAACAGTGTCTGACACCTTACTTGGCAGCACCCTTGCTTTGGGTTGGTGGGGGGGAGTAAGTAGAGAGTGAACAGCTCAGTAGTCATCTCTGACCATGACTCCTGCTGGCCCCTGTAGTTCTTCATTGTCTTGGTCATTCCAGCTTCCAGCACACAGCCAGCTCTGGCTTCTACACCTAATTAGAACTGGGGCCCAGGCTGCCCCAGGTGTGTGCTGGGGGGTGTTTTGCCAAGCCAAGACAAGTTGGGGTTGATGCCTGGTCATGGGCATTTTCTGTCAGGGGCTCTGGGCTTCCTGAGATTTCCCCCACCTCCTGCCCCTGCCTGGCATCTTACCTACCAAGAGGGAGAACTGAGGAACAGAGCACAACTAACAAGGCAGCCCATTTGTCTCCTGTGTTAATCCTTCTCTTTTGATACTTTTTTTCCCAACTTTTTGTGGTTGGCGAGAGTTTAAAACTGCACCACAGGACCAGAGCACAGTCCCTGAGTTTCCTACACTCCAGGAGCTTGCTGATCTCAACCTTGCTGACACCCTTTCCCCTGGCACTGGCACTCTTTGGGCTGCCTTTCCCTGGGTTTTTAACCTATGGGGGTCTGGCTCCTAGGGCTGGCTGAGACCTCCCCGAAGGTGGGCTCCTCAAAGTCAGGCTTTCCCCCTTCGTAAGGCTTTTTTGGCAAGACCCAGGTTATGGATGTCCTGCTTTATGTGCCAAGTCCTTAGAAACTAGACTCTGCCTCCTGCAAGGCCCGGCTGGCAGGTTCCCCATCTCAACTCCTCACTGTCCGTCTCCTTATCCTCTTGTGGCCAATCTCAAAAGCTTGTGTTGGGGGAGGGGGTTCATAATGCCTTGGTAATGTTTTTGAAGGAATACATGTGCTCCTACCACTCATGTCCCCATCCTGGCTCAGTGTCTCCAGGGCTGCCTCCTGTCCTGTGATAAGTATCTAGTGGAAGAAGAACAGGTAGAAGGAACAGAGAGATAGCTTTGCCTCCAGCTCCTCCTATCCCCTGACCCTGGGGTCTGTATTGCTCTGTAGGCTTTCCAGGCACTTAGTTCAGAGAGACACTGGGCTAAAAGGAGAGTGGAGGAATCAGTTTTTACACAGCTACTGGTAGCCTGATTCCACTCAATCTTCACACTCTAGAAGGGGGGTCCCAGGAAATGGGTAGAGGTAGGCTAGAATTACTGCAGGTGGGGCAGGATGGGGAGAAAGCAGATGGGGGCAGGCCAGGGAGGGCTCCTCTCATTGCCTCCCTTCTGTCCTGCAGGTTGGAGGTACTCCATGACACACACTCGGAGGAAGTCCCTTCCCATGCTGAGTTCAGGCCCCATTGGCCGCCAAGAGCCCCTGCAGATGGAAGACAGCAATATGGAGCAGGGGGCTGAGGGTGTGGAGCCAGGCATGCCTGAGAGCCCAGGGCATCTCACAGGGCGCCGCAAAAACTATCCACTGCGTAAGCGTCCCTTGGCTCCTGAGAAGCCCAAGGCCTGCAAAGTGCTGCTGACCCGCCTGGAGAATGTGTCCGGTCCACGGAGTGCAGATGAGGCTGATGAGCTGCCCCCTGACCTGCCCAAGCCCCCCAGTCCAGCCCCATCCAGTGAGGACATTGGCCTTGCCCAGCCCCGCAAGCGGCGCCTGGCCTCCCTCAACGCCGAGGCTCTCAATAACCTGCTGCTAGAGCGGGAGGACACCAGCAGCTTGGCAGGCACCCGCCGCAGTCGAGGGGGAGATCCCCACCGCAGCCGGGACCGTGACCAGACCACTGGAGGCTGGTCCTCCAAGAAGCGGCCCCGGCTGGGGGACCTTGGAGGAGGAAGTCGGGACCTGTCCCCCGAGCCAGCACCAGATGAAGGCACCCGCCGAGATGGAGACCCAGCTCCCAAGAGACTGGCTAGCCTGAATGCAGCTGCTTTCCTGAAGCTGAGCCAGGAGCGGGAGCTACCCCTGCGGCCACCTCGTGCCCATGCAGAAGCAGATGGTCGCTCTACTGAGCCCCTGGCACCCAAAGCCCTGCGGCCAAAGTGGGCCAAGGTTAATGGCAAGAACTGTCCCAAGGTCCGGCAGGGAGCTGGCTCTGGGGAGCCTGCTGGCCCACCTGGCTGGCAAGGGCGCCCTGATGACCCATGGCCATCTGCAACTCCTCGTGGGCCATCCGTCCAGCCACCTTACCAGCCCCTGAGCAAGGCTCTAGAGAATCCCTTGAGGCTGCGCCCCCATCTGCCCCTGCTGATGGGTGGACAGGCGGCCCTGAAGCCAGAGCCTGGGCGCCCAGGCGAGGAGTCACCTGCCCCCAAGCAGGAACTGCATCAGCCCTCTTTCCCGGCACCTCAGCTGTCCCCCCTGCCGATGCCTGGCAACCCTGCCGACTACAGTGGCCTGTGTGTTGGGCCTGAGCTCACTGCACTAGGCAGCTTCTACCTGTATTGTGGCCAAGACGGGCTGCAGTGTGGGGGTTACTCCCCGTGCCCCATGCTCCCTGAGGGAAAGCTGTCCCCAGTGGCTGCACCTAATGAGGGGGTCCTCTTGGCCTCCAGCTCAGTGCCTTCAGGCACTCCTTTCCAGCACCCTCCCTGGGGCTCTTCTCCCTACTCCTCCAGTGAGGACACTGGAGTGAATGGCTATGGCATCTGTGGAGTGTTGCCCCTGTCCTTTGCCCACATTGGCACTACCTGTGGTGGCTGTCCCTACAAAATGCCTTTTGCAGCAGGTAAGCCTTCCTGGAGGTGGGATGTGCTAGGGAGTCTTTGAGACATGGCATCCCAACAGGGTGGGCTGTGGTTTGGGGCAGGGGCTCCTTGGGGTCTAGCTACTACGTGGAAGGTAGGGGGCTTTGAGAAGGGAGGACTTCCCTAGTCTGTGCCCCAAACCTAGGAGCATTCTCAGGAAAGGGGCCCCATGTTTAACTCTTGCAGCCCAGCTTTGCCCAGGATGTGAGAGAGATTTCTTGGTTAGGTAGCATTGCAGTGGTGGAGGATTCAGGAGAGCCCCTGCCCTCCTCATTAGGATACCTGTTCTTAGACTCTGAGTAGCAAGTTAGATATTTAAATTAGGGCTTTTACCGAGTTGTTCCCATGTCCCTTCTGTCTTCTTCAAGGCAAGCTAGAATTCTTTACTTCCCAGAAGCCCACACCATCTGCATGCCGGCCAAGCTCAGCATTCATGGGAAGGGTGATGGGTTATAGGCTCAGTAGATGGTGCTAACTGCAGTAGGGCAGCTTTACCCTGGCTATATAGGCCTGGAAAGAGAAGAGGTGCCCAGACTTAGCATTAGCTTACTGGGTGTGGACAGGGTGGGCACATCCTGAGAACATACAGGCACAGTTTCTTGGCTTGGAGGGGATGGTATCCCAGCCCACAGCTTTGGTGTCTGCTTTCCCAGCAAGACCCAGACACCTGAGAGGCTCATGCCCCAGCTGATTAGACACTCCCAGAGTCATCTCTCCCTGCTGTGACTGGCAGGGGTATCTTTACCTGCTTCTCCAGGCTTCCTCTCCAGCTATTGGGTGGAAGTGAAGTGATCAGAGCCATCCTGGTCAGCAGGTCTGCCCTGCTGCTAGGGAGGTAGGGCTCGGCCTTCCCAGACCCCTCCTCTCCCCTAGTACCTCTTCTTGTAGGGGTCTATAAAACAACTTTATAGACCAGTTGGCTCTGGCTAGACTGGTTATTTCAGGTTCTGGTGTGAGTTGGAACTAAGAAATGAGAATAGGTTTCTTCTTGGGCTTTTTCTTCTCTTTTGTAGCACTCCCCGGGTCAAGACCCTTACCCACTCGCCCCAATAATAAGTACACCAGTAAACTCCACGTGCCAGGCACTGATCTAAGTGTTTTACATATGAGAGCTGCATGACATGTAATTGAGCACAGACTCTGGAGCCAGAGTGCCTGGAGTGAAATGCTCTCCCCCATTTCCTTAGCAACATGACTGTGGGACATGTCAGTAACCGCTCTGTCTCAGTTTTCTTAACTGTAGAATGGGGGTAATGGTACGTACCTCATAGGGTTGTAAGGATGAAATGAGCTAATACATTGATAAGAAAAACAGCAAGGAGACACTGTCTGATATTTATAACTACTACTTACATTGTACTGAGGGGCAAACTGATGTGCTTGAGGTCATACACGGCTAGTGACAGGTCTGGAATTCATATCCCAGGCTGTCTGACTCCAGAACCCCTGCTGCTAAGCACTGTGGAAGCCTTAGAGAGGTTTAAGTCAAAGCTAAAGAAGCTATTCCCACTACCTCTCCTTCTTTCAGGCTAGGAGGGAAGATGGAAATGTCTGCTGGCTAATCTCCAAGGTCAAGAAATACTCTTGCCCCCTTGGACAGTCACTCTCACAATCCACTATAAAGGCTCCTGATCTCACCTGCCTCTTCAGTGGCCTTTGGAGGCACACTTAAGATTAAGACAGGAGCAGGTTCTGAAAGCACATGGGTGAGGGGGTTAATGCTTGTCCTTACCTGCCCTTAACTATTCTCTCCTTTTCCTAGAAGGCTGTAGGTCTCTGGGCCAGCTGGAATTTCCTCTCCCGGAAGCTGGCCACCCAGCCTCACCTGCCCACCCCCTCCTGGGATGCCCTGTGCCCAGCGTGCCACCTGCAGCAGAGCCTGTCCCCCATCTTCAGACACCCACTTCAGAGCCCCAGACAGTAGCCCGTGCGTGCCCTCAGAGTGCCAAGCCTCCCAGCGGTTCCAAGTCAGGTCTGCGCACAGGCTCTGGCTGCAGGCACAATGCAAGGAGCAAGGCTGCCCGCAGGCCCAGCCACCCCAAGCAGCCACGTGTCCAGCGCCCCCGCCCTCGCCGCCGTCGCCGCCGCCGCACTAATGGCTGGGGGCCTGTTGGGGCTGCCTGTGAGAAGGCCGTTTATGTCTTGGTGAGTGCCAGCTCTTAGCTAATGGGGAGAGGGAGAGCGGCAGTTGGGGACACAGGACCTGCAGTGAAGTGTGGGTCCTAGGAGCCCATGGCTCTTGCTACTCTGAGAGGTGACAAGGGACTCCAATTCACTTGTACCCCAGGAACCAGTCATGTTGGCCCAGCCTGCTCCCCCAGCCCCTATCGATCCTGTACGAGATGTCCTGGGGAGGTCAGGGGACTCACAGTCACAGCTGGTGGCTGCCATCTCTGTCACTGACTCTGGGGGTATCAGCCATCTGAGTGTATTCACCTCTCATCCCTGCTCACTCTGTCCTTTCCATCCTGGATCGAAAATGGAGGACTTTCATGGAGGCTTTTTGATAAGTATGTACAGGAGAAGTTGGTATGGGCAGAGGAAGTTAGTGATACAGGATCATCTGGGATGATGAAAAGAACGTCAGCTAGAGTTTATTCATCACTTCTTAGGTGCCAGAACTGAGCTAAGCACTTTGCATGCATTATCCCCTTTAATCCTCACCACTACCTGTGCAGCATATACCCCATGTTCCTATAATCATCCCCATCTTACAGATGAGGAAACGGAAGCTTAGCAGTAGATTAAATAATTTGCCCAAGGCTACGCCATGTATAATAGTGATTTAAGGGCTCAAACCCAGACTGTCCCATTAGGGAGTGTGAGTGCTTAGCCAGTCCAAGAGGTCTTAGAGCGAGCCAGCTGTTGGGTGTGGTGGTCAGAGTTCAACCCCAGAAGCTTCGGGCCACTTTTCCCACCCCATTCCTATTTCCCATCTTTTCTCCAACCATAGGAATTCCCCATCTCCATCCTATTTCTGAAAGCCATGCTTAGGGAAAAGGGTCCAGTGTGCAAACGCACTCAGTGGTTTGACTAACCTCAGGAAATTTCAGAAAGGATGTCATTCCCTTCCTCCTCTTTGTCCTCAACTCTGAGAGTGACCCTGCAAGCCTGTTTGTGTCATTGGTTTGTTGCCTAGGATGAGCCAGAACCAGCCATCCGAAAGAGCTACCAGGCAGTAGAGCGGCGTGGAGAGACAATCCGAGTCCGGGACACTGTTCTCCTCAAGTCAGGCCCGCGGAAGACATCCACTCCTTATGTGGCCAAGATCTCTGCCCTCTGGGAGAACCCTGAGTCAGGTACCCTGCCCTCAGGCTAGGGATCTCAGGGGAAGCTGCTTTCATGAGGGGACTGTAGGCTCCAGATTAGCCCCTGCCTGGAGTTTGACCTGGCATAAGTCTCCCATGCTCCTAGCACAGAGTCTACCTTCCACTCAGCTGGGGTGTGCTGCTGAGGGCTGCGGATGACTTTGTGGCTTGAGTTGGATTAGCTCCTTAACCTTTTCAGTCACCAGGGCCCAGGCACCTGTCCCCTGACCTCACCTGTCAGTGCCTTCTCCCCCTTCTTCCTTCATGCCTACCAGCATTCCAGGCCACTGAATACTTGGTCTGGGGCAGGTGACAGGGGTGGCCAGAGCCTGTGGGGTTGGCCCAGGAATTGAGGTTGGATGAGCCTCCAGGGCAGGCGGCCAGCTGTCTGCCTGTCTAAGTAACTCAGGGGTTGCCAGCTCAAGCCATGACCATTTCTATTGTCCCCCCAGGAGAGCTGATGATGAGCCTCCTGTGGTATTACAGACCTGAGCACTTACAGGGAGGTCGCAGTCCCAGCATGCACGAGGTGAGCTGCCTGGCAGGTGGGTTGGGGATGGCAGAGCTGGCAGAGAGAGGCTGTAGCACTCAAATGTGGTGTGGGGAGGGTAGCTGTGGTTAGTCAAGTCCCTGGACTTGTCATCAGGCTCCAGAAAACCTGGAGAAGGGTCTGGGGTTTAGCCTCTTTTCCCAGCACTGTCCCAATTCGTGTTTCAAAGGGAATAATAACCTTTGTCTTAAAAGGGGAACAGAAAGGGAGCCCTGGAGGGGAGGGGGTGCCAGAATGGTAGCAAGTGGATGTGTCCTCTGGCAACAGGAAAGGTGAGGTGGAGCTGCACACCTTGCCCCCTTTAGTATTTTCTGCAGCATGAGCAAGGGGAGAAAAGATTCCTAATACCTCCTAGGCTCTCCACCAAGCTGCACACAAAGAGAGGTGACTACGACTTGGGTGTGATTTGGAATCACCTTTATTTTGTTTCCCCTTGCAGGGACTTTTCATCTAACTGGAAAGATGGGGACCAATTCCCCTCTCCCCTGGGCAGGGGGTTGGGAGGTCACTGATAGTCAGGGGCTGGAGCAGGATGGGACCTGGGAAGATCCTAGGAGGAATGTAGGTGAGGCACTCATAGGCTGCATTTCCAGGCGTGCTCTCTGGCTTTCTGGAGTCTCTAGCTAGAGTTATCTCAGGTCAGCAGTCCCAGCAGAGGGGTTAATACTGGCCTTGCTCTTGGAGTTAGGTGCTTTCCAACCTCGGTAACCAGCCTCCTCCTGTCTCCCCTTGAGCCTTTGCAGAATGAAGTCTTTGCCTCGCGACATCAGGACCAGAACAGTGTGGCCTGCATAGAGGAAAAATGCTATGTGCTTACCTTTGCCGAGTACTGCAGGTGGGTGGTGCCCTACACGCTCTGGCTGGCCTCCCCCTCAGACTCTCCAGGGCTGTTTGTAGGCTGCCTGGGATCCCCATTCTTCTCTGGGCCTGATCTCACTCACTGGGCCTAATCTCCCAGAACTTTCTGCCTTACAACCTACTTCTACCATATGATTTTTTTAAAGGAAAGAAGAAAAATTGTTGCCCCACTGAGGTAGAGTGGTTGATGCAGAGTTGGGGGGTGATAGTTCTTCTCTTGGAGAAAATCTAGGAGAATTGGCTGGTGATTGGGAGGGAGGCCCTGGCAGGTGTGGTTCCCCTGTGACAGAGAAGATGGACTGGTGGTTGGCAGACCAGGCATAGCCCCTGGGACAGGGGTGGAGGCAGCACCAACCCTTGGGGGTGGGAGGGGATGTCTCAGCTCTCTGGGCAGGGTGGGGAAGGAATTGGTTTTCCTGCGAAGGTGGCTGTGGTAAAGAAAGCGAATGGTATGTCACTACAGATTCTGTGCCATGGCCAAGCGCCGAGGCGAGGGCCTCCCCAGCCGAAAGACAGCTCTGGTGCCCCCCTCTGCAGACTACTCCACCCCGCCACACCGCACAGTGCCCGAGGACACGGACCCTGAGCTGGTGTTCCTTTGCCGTCATGTCTATGACTTCCGCCATGGTCGCATCCTCAAGAACCCCCAGTAGCCTCCTCATGCCCACACCGGGGCTGCCCATGGGCAAGCGGGGCTCGGGGCAGGGGACACTGCTTGAAGCACAGCACTTGGTTAAGGGGCCACAGGGGCTGGAGGTTGCTGGCCTGTGGTTCTCTTGGGGGGGAGGGCAGGGGCCTTTATGTGTCTGGGCCCTATGGGAGGGAAGGGGAGGCCAGGGTATAAGAAAAGCATCAGAGCCTTCAGCTTGGCCCAGGGTGCCTTTCACTGGTCCCCTGGGTGGAGACTCCCCAAGAAGCAGTCTTCCCTGAGGCTGGACCAAGACTGAGGGACGTGGGGCCCTGGGAGGGGAAGGGGCAGAGACGAGAGGCAAGGTCCTTCAGGAACCAGGCCCAACAGGCCCTTCTTGTAGCCACCCGCCTGGCCCTCCAAAGGGGAAAGGGAGCCAGCTTTACCTCACCCACTGTGACCCCTATCAGCCTGGGACCAGGCTCTCCCAGATTCTAGCATAGCTCTGAGCTTGTTCCTTTGAGGTAGAAAGAGCCAGAGTCTGGCTTCCAGAGCATTGACTTCCTCATCCTGAACTTGGGGCCTTCCCCTGGCTTTCCTCCTTTGCCCCTGCAGTAGCCACTGGTGCTGGGACAAGTTGACCCGGCCATTACAGTCATGGGTGTGGCCCATTTGTGGGAGTCAGCCTTCTGTCTGCCTCCTGGCACCAGCAAGTCTGGCTTCCCAGAAAGCAAACTGATCAGTATGGGGTTTTTCACATCAGGGAGGGCAGATGGGTGCTGGGAGAGGGTGGGGGGCAGGGGGCAAGGAAAATTGCTACCTGATTTGTTGACGATTTTTCCTCTTGCCTTACACTTGGAGGTTCTGGGAAACCTCTTGCAGAACTTCACACATGACTCTTCAAGCCACACCCACCTGAAATCAAACCAAAGGAGTGCTGTGGCTCCCCTTGCCCTGCCACCCGTGACCCTAGTCTTTTGTAGATTGCACTAATTTACATCCCAGCGAGAATCAACACTGTATCAATCCACAGACCTGCTGAGCTGCAGCCACTCACTCTAGGAGCTAAGGACCTGCATTTTCAGTTTGTTCTTGCCCAGAGGCCCTGTTCTCACCTCATGCTGCTCCCCAGAGTAGAGTAAGAGGCTCAGCCCCCTGTCGTCATTGCCTGCACTAGGCCCTGGCCCTAGCCCTGAGGCTCTTGGTGGGGGGGTTAGAGTGGCCTGGTTATTCCCTATTTGTACCAAAGAGGAGCATGGTGGGGAGAGGAAGTGTAGTGCAGCGTGGCTTGGGCCTGGCACTGGTGACCTGCTAGCTGAGCACTTCCACCAGGGCATACCCCTGGGGACAGGAGCCAAGGAGGGCAGTACTGGGTCCTCCCCCACAGGGAGAAGCAGACAGACTCAGCAGGCTAAGGATGTGGCACTGTGTGAGGACAGTCCAGCAGGGGCTATAGTGCAAGATGGAAGTGAATCCAAAGGGCAGCCCTCAGGCCCTGTCCTGTCCCTTGGAAGATGGGTTGCTCCTGATTGGTCATTATGCTTGAGTGTGGCCTGGAGGCTTCAGAAGTGAATTTAGGCTTGGGAAGCCTGATCCCAAACCTGAAGGGAAGGGACTTGGGTCTCCTTGTATTGAATAAGCTGTTTGGAGGAAAGCATCAGTCTGGGAGGGTGGGGCAGTAGGAGAGTTTGTCAGAGTAGCAGTGGGGGCTCTGGAGAGCCAGCCTTGGAGCCTGCTCGTTCCCAGGGTTCTGGGCCCCTGCTGCCCAAGAGACAGCCTCACCCAACAGGAGAGGAGACCAAGGCCTTTCCTCCTAGGAGGCGGGGTCTGCTGCCCAGAACTTAAATGCTTTTGAAATCTCTTAGATGTGGAAATATTTTTCGAACCTGAAAATGCAGCTGGTAGTAATTCAATGGAAGCATAATCCATGTAAAATATATTTTAGTTGGTATTTTGTAAAATGCACTTTTTGTGTGTGTCGATCCTGGTTTCCCAGATCTGTATTTCAGTGTTTACAAGGGAGGGAGGACCTTTCCTCACCTCTCTTTTGACAGAGATTAGAAGTACTTTAAGAAAAAAAATAAATTTGAGAAGTTGTATTGATTTAGAAAAGGATCATTTTCTATGTGTCCTGTCATCTTTTGGTGTGTGGGTGTGGAGAGATTCTCCATTCTTATTTTAGGGGTCCCTCTTAACACTTGCACACAGGTGCCTACTGAGGCCAGTAAGCAAAGAGGGCAGGAAAGTAGGGGGAAAGGAGAATGAAGAGAGGAGACAGAGGGAATGGGAACTCAGAGTTGCTTTCTTGAAATCATGCTGACCACAGCTGCCTGCCTGGGTCTGTGTGAAATCCTTGGGTTGCCAGCCCTCACAGACCACTGACCTGGGAACTGGTTCCTAGCAGGTGCATAGTGAAGATACCACTTCATCACCTTGGGGGACTGGCCGTCAGAAACTGTCCTAGGGCCTCAGTATCTTGCAGCTGGCACTCCTTGCTTCCTGAGGGAACGAAGGCCACATCATGGGGCCAACGGTTTGTGACTAGCTGGATCCCTGCATCAGCCCAGCCCCAGTACCAAAAGCCATATTGACCATGCTCAACATGGGGAAGCTTTAAGGCCGTGGGAGGCCTAGGAGGCAGAGCATGGTGTCTCTTCTGCATTTTGGTAAGGACATTTTGGCATGGGGGCAGGTCCATATCCATGGAGGTTATTAGAGGCATAGACACCGCCATGGACTTGCTACAGCATTACCATCAGTGTACTGCCCACAAGAAAGAGTCCCTTGAGATGGGTGGTAGCCTATCCTCATTTTACAGACAGGAAACTGGTGTGTAGATAAGTATCTTGCCCAAGAACTCCCCCAGAGTAAGTAAGACTGCCTCACCCTGACTGCTAACACAGAAAACTGCCCTCAAACAGAAATGAGCACATTTGGCCAAATTGTCAAAAACTTTTTCAAAGATCTTTTTTTTTCTTTCTCTCCTAGTATAAAGGATTTAATTTTTTTAAAAAATTAATTTCTGTAGAAAATAATTTCACCACCAGAAATCTAGACTTTTAATGCTGCTGGAATCAAGGAGAAGTGTGGTGAAAGGAAACCTTTACGCAAACTTCTAAAGTGGCAAATAGGTACTGGTGGCCTGAGGATGCACCTCAGTGTTCAGACTGGAATGTGGGGAGCTGCAGGACTACCAGGCTTCCTATTCCTTCCCCCTGGCTCATTCTGTGTGCTCTCACGTTGCTGGGAGTACAGGGCCATCAATGAATGAGACTTCTAGCTTCATCTAATCCCTTAGAAGCCCCTCATCTTTCTGAATTCATCTGATCAATGGTAGCTCCATTCTCCTACTGGCATCATCTGTTGCTTTTCCTTCACCCCCTCAGTACAGCTTGTCCTGGGGTCAGCTGTTACCTCCCATTCAATCAGTGTTGTGCTCCATTAATCTCTGAATGATCGTGGTTAGGAATTTAAGTTGTAGAGTCAGACCAACCCATACTGAGTCTCAGTTTCCTGAGCCTCTTTGTTGCTTCAGTTGCACAGTGGAAATACCCATAGTACCCACCTGCCAGGGTGGCTGTGACAAGTGAAGGAGATAATACAAACACTTAGCAAGTGCCTCCCTCAGTGCACCTGGGCTCTATTCATATTAGAGCCTGCTCTGCTTCAGAACCTAGCTGGCTCCCCACAAGTTGCACAGTGAAGACTAGATGCTTAGCTGGGCTCCCAGTTCAGATAGGTGACAGCTGCCTACTGAAGTCCAAAGCACTGCTGGATCTCCCTCTACCCCACATGGCCAGCCCGGTGCCGTTGTGCACACATTTGACCCCAGGCTAGGACGCTGCTTGCCTTTTTCCTGCTGCTCTGTGCCTTCAGCTCCTCACGCATCAAAATGTGTGCCGGCCACACCAAAATGTGTGCCGGCCACACCAGTGGTCCTGAGGCACCAACTTGTCATCAGCCCCTCCCCTGTCCCAGTAATCCCACTGCTTCAGACCTAGGGGAGGGAAGGCAGAGGAGGGAACATTCTATTTCCAGACATTTCAGCATTACCAAGTGGATAAGCACTGGAGTCTCTAGGTATTGCTAAATCCAAGGGTAACCGTGGAGATTGGTCAGTGCCTGTCGGTCTTGTTCCAGTGGCTAAGACCCGCCAGGTTGAGAAGGGTAAGGGCTGGAGGAGGAACACCCTGGGCTCTCTGCTACCAGCTTAGAAAGACGGGCCTCCTACATGTTTGGACTCGTGGAGAGCACTGCGGGCCTCCCTGCCTCCAGACCCGCTGTTGGAGGCAGGGCTCTGCCAGGAGTATGCAGCCGAGTGGTGGGTGCGTGTCCTATCCGCCCAGCTCCCTGAGGGCACGCGCTGCACAAGAGGGGGCCCCGGCCTGGGTCTTTTCCACCTTCGGAGTCTTAGCAGCTTTTATCCCTGAGCCTGGGGGACTGAAGTGGCCTTGGCTCAGGCGTCCACCCCAGGTGGGGGTCCGCGTGCGCCCTCCTCGGCCTGCTCCAGGGGTGCCCGCCTCTCTCCCCGCCCCTGGCGTGGGCCCGCCTCCGCGCCTGTGTCACTGCGGGGCCGGGGGCGGAGAGCAGCCGGGCGGGACATCCGGCCCGGGTCCTTCGCCTCTCCCGCCCGCCGCCCGCTCCGGCGCCGCAGGGCAGGAGCTGGCCATCCCCGCGCGAGCCGGG